TTTTTCCTTTTCTTTTCTTTTTTTTCTTCTGAGATGGAGTCTCACTCTGTCACCCAGGCTGGAGTGTGGTGGCTCGATCTCAGCTTACTGCAACCTCCGCCTCCCGGGTTCAAGTGATTCTCCTGCCTCAGCCTCCCGAGTCGCTGGGATTACAGACACCCATCACCACACCTGGCTAATTTTTGTATTTTTAGTAGAGACCGGGTTTCACCACGTTGGCCAGGCTGGTCTCGAACTCCTGACCTTGCGATCTGCCCGCCTCGGCCTCCCAAAGTGCTGGGATTACAGGCGTGAGCCACAACGCCCAGTCTTTTTTTTTTTTTTCCTTCAAATCCAACTGTCTTGGGATGTAATTCACATGCAATAAAATGCACCCATGTTAGGCACACGGTTTAATGAGTTCTGACAAATGCACCAGCCCCCTCCAAATCCATCAGCCTAGAATGCCCCCGCCTCCCGTTTGTGGTCCATCTTTCCCCAGCACCCCCAGGCCCAGGCAGTCACTGACCCGCTTTGTCACTGCAGATTTGTGCAGCCTCGTCCAGAGCGTTAGGCAGGTAGAATCAGGCAGGAGGAGCTCCTTTGTGTCTGGCCGCCTTTGCTCAGCCCAGCGGTTTAGGCTTCACGTGGCGGTTGCGTGCATCGATGGTTGGTTCCTCTCGGTTGCCTGGACATACTACAGCTTGCTTAACTTCATCAGTTCATGGACATCTGGGGCCTATGCTGGGTAAAGCCACTGTGGACACTCGGGGGCCTTTGTGCGCATGTCCAGCTTCCCTTCTCCTCCCTGCTCTGATTTTGTGCCTCCATTTCTCCTAACGCAGCCCCACCGGGGGCCCTCCCACCGCTGTGAGGACTGGAGCGTGGGGTCTGGGGAGCACAGAGTCCTGGTCTCTGGAGGGGCAGGGTCCCCAGGAGGATTTTGGTAGTTGCCAGTTAGAAGCGTGCCAGGGCTTGCCCCGGAATTCCCTCCTGGGTAAGCAGCTGTGAGGTAAGGAGACCTCTGTTTACCTTGGCCGCCCCATCCTGGCCTGTGGGCTCCATGCTGTGGGCTGGACAGAGTTGGACTCAGGCCGGCCTGGGTAGGGGTGGAGGCAGCGTGGCTGGGAAGCTTGGAGCCGACCGCCCCAGCCCATCTGAGCCTCACACCCTGCCTAGCCACCATGATGCAAGCTAGATGCTCAGATCACCAGAGGGCCTTGGGGACAGCATGACCTGCCCATTCTGGGCCTCGGGTTCCTCATCCGTAAATGGAGCCCTAGCCCTTGCCTGGCCCATCTCCCGGGGCTGGCTGAACACACCAGGAGATGAAGTGTATGAGAAGGTTCTGTGGTATGAGAGGTCTTACCGATGGACCATGTGGAGGGAGGTGCCTTCTGCCTACCCTGGTTCCTGCTGTGAGCTAGGCGCCGACCCCAGGCCGCCTGCTAAGGAACCTGAGAGCTCCTGGGTTGGGGTGGGAGGGCTGCGTCCACCATCAGGCTGGCATCATGGATGTGCAATCCACGCACCTGCACCCGGCCCCGTGCTCAAAAAGGCTCTGTGCTGGGGCCATTTCCCCTCATTCCCGGCCTCCTCCCTCTGCTCTGGATTAAGAGAACGCCTGGGGGCTGGCCCTGCCTCTCAAACACTGAGCACTTCTCCCCCGGTCCTGAGGGTTCTGAAACCACTACACCCACATGCCAGCCATGTGCCAACCCACTTCTACTGTGGCTGCTACCTCTTTTTTTCCTTTTTAAGTCAAACTGTACTGCAGTGTAATTCACAAACAATAAAATGCACCCATTTTAAGCACACGGTTTGGTGAATTTTAATGTTCTTTTTTTTTTTCTTCTTTTTTTTTTTTTTTAAAGACAGAGTCTTGCTGTGTCGCCCAGGCTCTGGCATGATCTCGGCTCACTCCAGCTTCCACCTCCTGGGCTCAAGTGATTCTCCTGCCTCAGCCTCCCAAGTAGCTGGGACTACAGGTGCCTGCCACCACGCCCGGCTAATTTTTGTATTTCTAGTAGAGGCGGAGTTTTGCCATGTTGGCCAGGCTGGTCTTGAACTCCTGACCTCAAGTCATTCACCTGCCTCGGCCTCCCAAAGTGCTGGGATTACAGGCGTGAACCACCGCGCCTGGCCATAATGTTGAATGTTCTGCTGTCTTTGTAATTCTTGTCATTTTGGGTCAAAGGGCTCCAGGGTTTCATTTTTGCGACGGGCCCTGCAAATTATGTAGACAATCCTGCCTCTGGTCCTGTGGGCAGGGCCTGAGTCTCCTTCCCAGGACAGCTGAGTGGAGGATTAGATACCAAGCCTTCATGATGGGTTTTGGCCATGGCGACTCCCTTCCCAGAGCCTCGGCTTCCAGGAAGTCAGGGCCACCTGGGTGAGTCGGCTCACCCCAGGCAGCCTGGCAGAGGTCCCTGGGTACTGTGAGCTGAGGGAAGCCTTGGGGAGGTGGTAGGTGTGAGGTGCATTTGAGCTGGTCTTGGAAGGGCCGGTGGGGATGGGATCCCGGGATCTGAGGAGGAGAGGGAGATTGAGCAGGAGAGCTGCAGCACCCACAGAAGAGCTGGGATTGAGGCTCCCCTGTGGGATGCAAAGGAGCCCCTGAGATTCAGGCTCCAGGCCCAGCCCTGCCCAGACCCAATCATGGAACTTTCCCAGCCTGTTTCCTCGGGGGTGACATGCAGATCATAAAATGCATAAAAGGGGCCAGGTGAGGTCGCTCATGCCTGTCACCCCGGCACCTTGGGAGGCAAAGGCGGGCCGATCACCTGAGGTCAGGAGTTTGAGACCAGCCTGGCCAACATGGTGAAACCCCGTCTCTACTAAAAATACAAAAATTATCTGGCTATGGCGGCGGCACGTGCCTTCCCAGCTACTCGGGAGGTGGAGGTTGCAGTGAACTGAGATTGCACCACTGCACTCCAGCCTGGGCGACAGAGCGAGACTTCGTCTCAAATAGCTACATAAACAAATGAAACAAAACAAAATGTATAAAAGGCCTTTGAACTCGTGCACAAATTGTCAACACCGTCCCTGTGAGGAGCAAGCATCCCGAAGCTGGGAGGCTGTGCAGGCGCCGCACCTGCCGCTCGAGTGTGTGTCTCCAGAGCCTTGTCTTGGAGGCCAAGAGAACAATCCTGGTGATGTGTGAACCCCCGAACTTTGCTCAGCGTTTCCTGGACTGGGTGTGGGCAGGTGGTAGGGCCCCAGGCAGATGCCCTGTAGGTGGAGATGGCAGGACCACTCCCCGGGAAAACAGACACTGAGGATCCTCTGTTCCCCCAGACACACGACCTTTATTTCTCTACCAAACAGCATGTCAGCAGGTGGGTACAGGGCCCTGCTCCTGCTAAGACCTCCCCACCTCCCCCCAGGAAAGAAGCAGAGAATCTCTGCAGGCACCAGACTCCCCGCCTCCCCCACTGTTTCTCTCACTGGCCCCCCAGAACCTGCGAGAGGGAGGAGGGGGGAGGTATGGGGGAGGGGGCTACAGAACATGGAGCCCATTGGTCTGCAAGGTAGGCTGAGGGGCTTTGGATGTGGGGGACTAGGAAAGGGATGTGAGTCTTGATTTACATATAAAATCATCAGTCCGCACACTCTCTAGGAGGGGCCAAGACACAGGGACAGCCCTGGCGCAGGTTTCTGCTATCCCTCGCTAGTTGTTGCCAAAGTAGCAAAAGCTGAGTTAAGAGAAAAATTCTGTCCATCAAAGGCCATCTTCCTCTCATCTGACATGACGCGTTCCTCCAGCAGGGAGGGAGGGAGAGCAGGTGCCCTTGGGGAATCAGCCATCCTTAGTGACATCCTTTCGGCTCATGGGTGTCGTGCGGAGGGGGCGAGGAGTGTGGCCAAGAGTCCAGGAGAGCCCACCAGGCTAAGAGTCCCCCAGCTGTGTACAGTGCGGCAGCCGCACCCTGGGTTGGTAGAAGGGCGCCATGGTCAGGAACCTGAGGATGTCAGGGGTCTCAGGTACCAGGGACGCGGGTGGCGAGTTGGACCTCTGCATGGCAGACGGGGCGGCAGTGACCCTGAACGTCTCCTGCTCTCAGGATGGGGAACCCTGAGTCCAGGAGGTGAGCAGGGCTGAGGCAGGTCAACCAGACTTTCCCAGCTTGTCTCCGGGGAAAAGCCATCCTCGCTCTGCCCCTCCTCCTGGCTCCTTGTGTCGGTCTCTCTGACCCTTCACCCCCGGGGCCCTGCACATATAAACAGAAGCAGCCTCAAGCTCTCAGAAGCCGACTTTGTGGAAGCAGAGCGGAGTGGAGGGGGCTGCCCGCTCTCGCTGTACACAGCTGGGCCCAGATGGCCCCTTCTGATCCCCCAGGGCTGACCCAGTCCCAGACCAGGCACGAAGGGAGGGGTCGGAGCCGGTAAGACGGACCCCCAGGAGTCCTCCGTCCGTGCAGAGGCACCAGTCACCAAGTGAAGGTCCAGCTTCCAAGCAAGGGGGAGCAAGCTCCAGGCAGACTCGTGATTTGGGGGTGGGGGGACCCCGGATCTCTGGGTGTGCTGCCAGCTCTGGCTACTTGGCTGCCCCCTCCCAGCCTGCAGCTCCTGGGCCAGAGCTGCAGAGCGGGGAACTTCCCAGGAGAGTCCAAGAGACAGGAATTACAGAGCTCCCAGGCCAGACGGAAGTGGGGACAGAGACCCCAGGACGGGGCCTGGGGATGGCGGTTCTGGCCTCGGGCCTGTCATCTCTCCGGCGGGAACTGGGCGAGTGTGGTGGCAGGGGTGGGGGCGGAGGCGAACGCATGGACACCATCAGTCTGAGGCACACACCGGAGACTCCACTCCGTTCCCAGCGCTCACTTCTGGCTCTTTTTTTCTGGAAGAAAAACCCAAGAGCGTGTTAAGATGTATGCATAAGGGCACACAACCAGGCAGGTTCCTTCCAGCCCCTTCCCAGCCCCTTCCATCCTCCACTTCTCCCAGGACAGCCCCAGGCTCCCATGGCCTCCCTTACTCCAGACCTCAGTCTACCCCAGCCCCACCAGACCCCCACGCTGCAGCCAGGATCCTGCTCTGCAGGACACATCCCTGCAACGTCCCCTACACTTCCTTCTCTCCGCTGTTCCATCAACGCCCCCAAACCCTCCAGTACATACTCTCCGGGTTTTCATTTTGGGGAGTCACTACCCACCATTGTAAGGTTCAGACACCAGGCTCATCCTTGCTTCTCTCGCCCATCACACACACCCAGGCCCGATTTCGCCCAAATTGTGAGAGCTCATCTCTCCCCCGCTGCCTTCCCCCACCAGGACTCAAGGCCTGCCGCTCTGCCCCCAGCCCGTCTTACCTTCCCATCATCCTTCTGCCCCTAGCATCAAGTAAAAGCCCAAATCCAGTCCCAACACCCCATTTCATGGTTCCTCACTGTCCTCAGAGTAAACTCTAAGCCTGCCTGTAACCTCCCAGATCTGTCCCCCGCAGCCACCACAGCCCAGCCCCCAGGCCTCCCCTGACAGCTGCTCAGCCACACCTGGGCAGAGCCAGGAGGTAGGGCAAGAGAACCACCCCCAGCCCCCAGGGCTGACCCAGGAGCCAAACTTCTCCCTAGGACACATCCCTCGTAAATGACATAAATCATGGGGAAGCCACAAGCATCGGGCTTCAGAACAACTTCCCTAAAAGGCCACCCGGCTGGCTTGGGAGCGCAAAGGGTCCTGCTCTCACCCCCGCCCCGTCTGGCTTTAGGAGGCCCCAGGGACTGCAGCGGCGCTGGGCAGGGCTGTCTGGGCTTCCAGCGAGCACATTCCTTGGGGTGCCTCCACCCCACCCCTCAGATGGAGCTGCAGGTACCCAGCCTGTGTCTGTCCTCCAGCAGCCAGGCACCACCTTTCCAAGCCAAACTTCACAGGGGCCACCGCCAACATCTCAAGGAGGTGGAGGTGGAGGTGCTGCAGGGGCCAGCTCCCTGGGGCCAGCTCCCCAGGGCCAGAGCTCTGCCCGCTCCCCAGGTCTGTTCAATGCCGCTTGCCCACCTCCTGGTGTTAGTCTCAACCCCTCTTTTTTGGGGAGGGTGGGGGACGGAGTCTCACTGTCCCCTCCGGCTGGAGTGCAGTGGCTCAATCTCAGCTCACTGCAACCACTGCCTCCCGAGTTCAAGCGATTCTACGACC